TAGTATCTATCTTAAAGGCTACAGTCATAAAATACAATAACATAGCAGGAATTTAGAAATTGTCTTCCTTGGTTTAACATCCAACCAGTGATTTTAAAAAGAATGTATTATTCTGGATGTGTTTCATGATGTCCATTGTGTTGTATCATTGCAGACCTGTCATGTGTGGTGTGTGCTATGAGAGAAAGTTTGGTGATGAATTTGCATTTCTAATTTACACTCACTGAGCTTTCAAATTCTTATATTGAGAAATACAAGCCTGTGGTGTTAAAGATTACAAAGGCAGCTAAGTACTAATTCCTTAATATATTAATAATTGCTTCATTGGCTTTTTTGGTAGATGCTATGCAAATAATTAAGATTGTATTTCATAGCCTGTTTATGTTGTATATGGGTATATAGGATTATATATGTTGTGTATGGGTATACCTGATTTGCCTTTCTCCAATGCACAGTAGGCACAAACTGGAACACAGGAGATTCCACCTGAACATGAGGAAAAGCTGCTTTCAACTTCTTTACTTTGAGGGTGACAGAGCACTGGAACAGGTTTACCAGAGAGGTTGTGGAGTCTCCGTCTGGGGAGATACTCAAAACCTACCTGGATGCATTCCTGTGCAACTCACTCTAGTTGAACCTGCTTTGGCAGGGAGGCTGGACTAGATGGTCCCTTCCAATCTCTACCATTCTGTGATAATATTTCTAATTATAGTCCATACCAGTGCTTTCAACTGGCAACTTTTTAGGACAGTGGGGCTGTATTATATAGAGGTTAAGACACTAGATTACAGTTTAGGAACTCGGTGCACCTCTTCTTACTGTTAGGGAAAATGGGCTCAGAGGCAATATATTTACTTTTGCAAAGGTTTTTTTGCACCTCCTGTTGTTGGGACCATTACTGTCCTGCTTCATATAGCTCCATATTATTTGTAAACTGTCAGATTAGGCTTCTTTAAACCTTTTTTTGCTGTTGAAGTAGTGACTCTTATATTTCAGTCATCTGTAATATGTATCTAACCCTGTAAGGCTAGAATTGCTCTCAAAGTTTTAGTGGGGAGAGGCAAAGGTACTGATGCAGCTGGAGGGTTGCTTGCATTTTCCTGAGCTCCTGGCAGGTGGACGTAAGTGATAAAGAAATTATTTGTCTAACGTTGTGTAATGAAGAACTGTCACTTCAGAATAACTAATGAGTATAGAAACATGAACAGCCGTGTGAGGCTTGCACTTATGCTTTTTATTTTGATGGATTTTACTTAAGGATTTAAATTCCCTTAAATCTACTTAATGCTCAGAAGATGAAAATATTTTTGGAGTGTACAGTAAACTATATTATGAAAGACTAAAATGCATTTGCCTTTCCCATTGTTCATTGAGGCTGCTGATAAGAGTTGTTTTTGGAGGGAAATGACCTTTGAAATCTGCGTAGGATATTTGTTTCTAGAAGTTGAAACAGCAAGGGAGTGGGTATCCTGTTACTTAATAAGATTTTCTTTTTTTGAGTAGACCTCAGTCTCAGCAGACAAGCTTAGTTGAGTGCAGTCATCTTTTTTTTTTTTTTAATACTGTACTTAAAAGAATGGAACGAAATTCTACAATGCTGGATAAAATAATTGAGGTATCTTGCACTTTTAAATCTGCTCTTAAAGGGCAAAACTTTGAGGTTACACTGAAACCATATCAAACTGTAGAAGAAAAAAGGCTTGCTGCTGCTGATCCATATGAATATATGGAGCCATATTTTACTCTGTAAGTATCTAATGCTTGCTAATCCTGGATTATAATTTGTCAGAAAAGATTAAAAAAAAACAACGCATCAGTTCACATGGTAATTAGTTTTCAAATGGATTCATCAAGAATGTGTGGTGTTCTCCTATTTTTCTTCTTTTCCTCCTGCTGCTTTTCTCTTAGGGAAGCAAGGCTGGTTGTAAGCAGGTCTTCATGTTTTAATTTCACTGGTTCATATCTTCCCTGTTAACATTTCAAAATGTTTGATTTTGAAATGTATGATAGAATGTTTTCTATACGCAGTTAGAAGTATGTTTCATCATCAAATACTTCTTTATTCTGTCTTCACATCTTAAATTCAACTTTGCCTTTTTAATTTGTATTTGTTACACTGGTAACTCATACTCATCCTATGATTACTCTGCTTTTGTCACTCCCAACTTCTGAGAGGTAGTCTTAAGCATGTACTTGAATCTTGTGCTGTGTAACTTCCTCCATTTTTGCTACGCGGTCCTCAAGTTCAAATTATGATTTCCACATTTTCTACTTTCTCACTTGCAAATTTTGTTTTTCATGTTAAGTTTTTTGTTAATTATTTTATTAGGTAAATGTATTCACAGACTTGATTCTTAAGCAGTTGCTACGTCTTATTCATGCAACGCTTTTTTGATTCTTAAGTCAGATACTAATTCTTTTTGAAAAGTAGTTGCTTTGTTGGTTGTCCCAAGGAACCAAAGCATCCATCTACCTGTGCGAAGCAGGTGATCACCTATGAGAATACAGTTCTCACCCATGAGAGCTAGGTGATCACAAATTAGTAACATGATCCTGCATTTTAGCTTTTACTGATGTTTCTATGTCAACTCGTGCATGATTATGTGAAATAGCAGTAGGAAACTGGAAGCAGGAGCATGGGACTGGAAGCAACTTTCTGAATCAGGTCCAGACTTCTGCTATGTAACTGGTAACTGCATCATATAGTTTCTTTCACATGCTAAGCTTAAAAGGTAAGGATTAAGACTTAAGCAGGAAGAATTGTAAGTCTCTGAAAGTTCTGTATCCAGATAGAGCAAAGTTTCAGGCAAGGTGCTTCAGGCTGATCTAAAATAACTGAGACTTATTCAGTATCCTATGAAGAATAGGTTGACAGGAATTGTCAGCAAAATAAGTTATCTCTGTGGCCAAGAACGATGGGAGTAAAGAGAGCTGCCAAAAGTTAAACCAAGCTAGCCTTCCTAGAAAGTTAATTACAAATAGAACTACACAGAGATTAAAAGGTAAAAAAAGGGAATTATTAAAAGTATTTTAGTACAACCCTAAAGCAACAAATACCTGATTTCTGGTACCAAAAATGAGGATATAGAGCCGAGGGAGAAATATGGAGTGGCTAAAAGGAGTCTGAGGATGCAGAGGTGAACGCAAACATGCTTGAAGTGAAATCAGAAAAACAGAGAGCTTAATACAGAGGGAGGGGTGCCTTTATCCCAGAGAGCTGGGAGGAGGGCAATAGGAAAAGGTCAGTGAAATCACAGCATTAGTTACTTTTAACAGATCTGTCAACCTGGGGTGGTGTTACAAGAGGGTGGTATGCTGGATGTTACCGCTTGCCATGGAGAAGGTGGGTGACTATAGACAAATTAAACTGATTTTAACAGTATCCAAAACTACAGAAAAAAGTTGCATGGGAAGTATAATTTAAAGGACTAAAGCAAACAACTAGATAAACATAGCAATAGAAGACTGATCATATAGTTCTTTGAACACTTCCAGGAGTAACTAAAAACAGTAAAAACCCTTGAGTGTGATGCAGACAAAATCGGGAGTTCCTAGGGATATTTGGGAAATGGTGCTGAAGCGGGCGAGGAAATAAAATACTTCCACTTTTTTTTTTTCTTTTAAAGTTAATACTTAATATTTAAGCTGTCAAATGAAGCCAATATTCACAACAGGCCATCGGTATTAGGTTGCTCCAGTATTTCATGAAACACTTGGTTTTGAAAAAGCAGTTAGACTTCAATGGATGTTGCATGTGAGTATCTGCATCCTGAGTTTTGCTTGTTTTTCTTCAACAAACAAAGTTGTTTGTTTTTCTTCCCCATCTGGTTGTGGTTCTTAATTTTATGGATGTATGTTGAAGCGTGTGGGCAGTGTTGATTTCTCATGGAGCAGTGCATCTGAAAATATGAGGAAAATCTTCTCTATTAGAGTAACTCTGTCCCTTGCAAGCAGGAAAAATGCTATTTAAAGGTTTATGGAGGAATGGATGACAATGTTTTGTCTCATTGTAACTAATTCTGGCTTTGGCTTAAACCTCTTTTTCCTCCCCATCTGAAATTCCGAGGGCAGTGATAAATCAGAATATATCTATGTTTCACATTCACTTTTGAAATCCTGTCTGGATTTCTGTGTTACCCTTCACTATGTGAAAGCTCACAGGGTTTGTAAACTTGAAAAGTTTTCAGAGTTCTTTGGAATATTGTAGATGTGTCTTCTTGAGCCATTGTTTGCTTTGTATTTTTTAGTACTCAAGTAATCTAGGAATTATAAAAGGCTATTTCTTTAAAAAAAATCCTTTTTTGTAAACTTTTGGAGTCTATAAATGCAGTTAGACAGTGATCTCTGGAGAACTTCCTTATTGACTTAATATTTTTGTGTGAGAATTTTATTTCAGACGTGAAAAGTGCGTGGACGCTAAATGTGTCTAATCATTGGGCTATCTTAACCTGGTGGCATGTAGAATAGATGTACTGCAGATCCGAGGCTTTTAATCCTGAGGGCAGGGGATAGCAATTTACAGTCCAGAAAGGCAGATGAAAACATAAGGTTATGTACTTGACTCTCATTGAAATTCAGGCCATATTGAAATCCACTATTGCGCTTTTCAGTGATTTACGTAAGCTGATATTCTACTTTAACACAAACATGTCAATCTCAGGCTATTACATCTGGCCCTCACTGGGGGAAAAGGGAGGAGCGAATGAGTAGTTAGTTCAAATTGAGCTCTTCTCTTGCCTCAAGACTTCAACCTTCCAGTCAAGGTTCAGCTAACAGCAGATTAAAATTGCACGGGCTTGCATTATTGTTGGAGTCCGATAGATTCTTTCACTAAGCACTCCATTATACTATGCCAGCATGATAACAAATCCAATTCAAAAAGTGGGCAAGAAGGAGCAGTGCTTCACCTTAAGTTCATGATTTGATGCAAGACTATAAAAATAGTATTCTGGTTTTATTTTTTACTTTTTCTAATTGATGTTTCACTGTGTTTCTACCGTAGAAATGAAGACCTAAAACAAATGTTGGAAAGCAGTAAAGATTCTGCAAAGCTGGATGCTATGAAAAGAATTGTTGGGGTATGTAATTCTTTTATTATTATTTTTTATTTGTCAGGATATCTGTTTTTATTATTATTTTTATTTCTTGGATGTGAATACTGTTTTGACTTTACAGGTCATGTACCAAGTCAGCATTGGTATCTCTAAATGGTGGTTAAAAGCTACTGTGAAATCCTTAATTTGGAATTTTGCTAAGAAATTGCTATATTGGAGTATATGCAGTCATATACTTTTAAAATATTTATGTAACAGTGCCAATATGCCTGTAAATAACTATTTTCAGTAGGGAGGTGAGATCTTAAGTAGGAAAGGGTTTCTTCAGAGAAGTTTCAATTGCTGTCTTAGTTCAGCAGACAGGAAACAACAGAAATTTGCAGGAGTAAAATGGCAAATTGTTTTTACTATTTTTACTTTTCAGATTATATAAGGATTTTTTTTTTAATTGACCATGTAGCCTATTTATTTGGTTAAGTATTTCAGGTGAACTGTGTACCCACCCGTGTAGAGGTGATTAAATAATGTTTAACGCTATTGTATGTTTAAACCCTATAAACTAAACATCATGAAGTTGATTAAAGTCCCTTTATTTCTTCTTAAAAGAATTAGAAGCTATGGAAAGCTGTTCAGTGTCCACTTGACTTACTTTTGGGACTTCTGCATTTGGTTTCTCTCATTGTTCCTTCAGTCTCCTTTGGATATGCTGTTTTGTTTTGTTTGTTTCTTACATGGGTTAATCCTATGCAAGCATGTACTGAAGTGAGTAAGTACAGTTTGTATCATGCAACTGTGTTCTTTCTGCTGGCTCTAGAGTTAGCAGCTTCTCCCTTTGTTATCCTGTAGTGATGAAGATTTTACTCAAGCTGATTGTCTTCTGCTTTTGCCTTTGATCCTAGTCCTGCCAGAGACACCAATTACCTATTAGATCTAGATTACTTTTTCATAACATCATTTTTCTTGTGTGTGAAAGATTTCTTGGTTCATCTTCTCCAACATGATGTGGGATTCCTCAGGGTTTGACCAGTTGAGAGTCTGGCATACAGAGGTTCTGTTGCAAGAAGTCATGCCTCTAGAATTGCTACAGTTTCAACCTATGGTAACTTAGATTCTCCTGCTTCCCTCAGAAAAGATCTTTTTTCAGGCTATTACTGTGGGCAGGGGGACTCTTCTTAACAACTGTTTCTACTTTCCTAGAAGTACATGATACCATGCAGCTGCAGAAGTGTAGTTAGCACTGATAGCTGTGGTCCTCGGTGGTCTTACGCTGAGGTGATCAGGTTCAAGATCTCTTTAGCAAGGAAGATCAGAACTGAATTGAGCTCATTCTTTCTTCCACTACCCTAGTTCCAGATTTTTGTCCTCTTGTAAGTTCCCAGTCCTTGGTTTATGTCCCTGTTCTAAGCACTGCACAACGCTGGATGAGCACTACTTTCCCAGATGGCAGCAGACACCTTCTGTTTCTTGGATATTTCTTCCTTCCTTAGCTGCTGCTTCTTTTCTTAAAGGAGTAACAGCCTTCTAGCTCATAAGATTGACCATCACTTGATGGGAAGCGAGTTTTTTGAATCACTGGATCCTCTGTTTTCAGTCCCTTCCATATTTTCAAGGTATTTGCTGTTATTCTGTGTTTAAACTGTGTTTCATAACAGGCATCTGATACCAACCTCTGGTTCACATAACAAACTGAAACAATGAACTTTGTGCAAGGTCTCAGTCCTGGCCTGTAAATAGCATAAGGCCTTGTAGCAGTGGTGATAATACTCTTGCTGGGCACAAAGATGCTTGTGTGTTACCAATTGCGTGCTTACATTTAAAGAGCTCTCAGGGATGAGATGGGTTTTGTAGAGATGAAAGGCTTCCTCTAGCCTTATTATTAGAGGAAAAAGGAACTCTTGCCAGAGTATTGTTCAATGTCTCTCCCTGGAATGCTCATTTTCAGTAAGTTTAGGTAGAGGAAAAAGCTGTGCATGCCAATATTTTTCTTACTCTTTTAGTGGACTTCAAGAGGCTGAACCTTAATTTGTCCATATGGGTGTGATTGAAAAGTTCCAGGAGAACACTGCTTATGGCTCCTTTTGCTGCTGCTTCTTCCTTTAAGGTGGTTTGTAAACTTTCTCCTGGGGAGAAGGAGATTCATTACGAATAAAAACACATCTATCTTGCAGAGAGTGACATAATTTCAAGCGTAGGAATAATCCAGTTTTGATCTTTCCATTCTACCTCTTAAAGGAAGGTGTCTAAGCCTGCCTTCAGCTAAAAATACGTATGTGTAACTTCAATGATCAGTAAGGTCCTTTTGAGGTCCTTTTTTTTTTTTTTTTTTTCTTATGTTTCTTCCTTACATGCATGCCATAATAATTACAGTCTTTGGAAGATTGCAAGTAACACTGGTGGTTTAGAAAAAAAAAAAAAAGAATTGTATACAGAGCCAAGTTTATTCCGCTATACGCATGGAAACACAAGAGCTGATGTTTCTTTTAAAACATACACTGATATTACAAGAACCAAGATATTCTTGTTACCAGGTCTTGAAACCTGTCTGAACATCTAGGAAAAAAATCTCAGTGGAATTTCGCTCCTGAAGATTTTTGAGCATGTATTTAGGAAACAAATTCACATGCCTGATTTCCCACAGAAATTTTCATCCATGTCTGTGTCTTTCATGAAGAAAAGAAAGGTTTAATACACCCTGACGTTAGAAAGTACTTATTCTAGATTGAAAGTTTCTGTCTGTGCAGGAACTTCAGTTATATAAGACAACACAATTGGAGAATGTCTAGGCACAGCAACAAAAATGACATGATAGACCTTAGTCTTGGAAAGAACCATTATGTTCTTTCAGGTTAACGATCCATGGGCTAAGGAGGATTTACACTAATCGTTATGACTTAATGAGTCAAAATACACTCTTTTAAAAGACCCTAAATACATATTTACATGGTACACTGGAGCTGCTATGGTTGATCAGTTAAATAATGCAAGTAATGCATAGAGTCATACTGTTGCAGCCTATCAGGGAAGTCTAAGGATCATCACTGTTTTTGAATAATATAACTTCTGTTGCATCAAGATGAGAAGATTGATAATATTTTATTCTATGATATTTCTCTGCAGTGCATCTTGCTACTAAGTTCTACTTGATTCTTGTCATTTTGAATCTGGCATTTATAACAAAGACCCTCCTGTCCTGACAGCAGTGGTTTAATTTGGAGTCTTTGTATGTGATTCAAGGAGTTTAACTATGTGCTTGCTTCTTAGTTTGCCACTTCCTGTGCTTTAATACAGCTGCAAGAAATAGTTTAAGATGTTAAGTTGGTTAAATTGTCATGTCATGCTGGACAGCTGCTCTTAAACCCTTTTGAAGGGCTCACTCAGTAATAGCTTGAACTACAACTACCTTGCTTCTTCTAGCATCTTCTAACCTTTTCCAAATACACAGTTTGTCAAGGTCTTGCCTGGTTTTATGTTTTCTTGCTTTTATTGCATGAGATCCTATTTCTTTATGCCCTTAATGCGTTTTATCAATGCAATACACAAACAGGCCTGTGAGTTAGGAATATGACGTTTAATCAGGTGTATAATGTTGAGTAACGGTGGGAATGTGCAATGGTTATGAGCGGCAGCAACTGCAGCTGCAACACTCGTGTTGGATCCCTGCATATTTGCTTGTCCTAGCGAGCTCTTGTGCTTTCCGATTAGCTTGGTGTTCGGCTGACTGGATCCTGCCCTTTACCACGGCTGGGGGTGCTCTCAGTCTGTCTGTATTCAGCAGCACTGTAGCCTGATACAACATGTTCATGAAATTCTGGGGTTTGCAGTTTGGACATGAAGTACAGGCAGATATTCTGCTGGAATTAGATCTAAGAAATAAGAGAGTTGTGCAACTGTAGTGTATACTAAAGTATTTTATTCCTTCTAAAGTACTTGGTTTCTTATAAATAACTTCCTTGTTACGCTGTTCGTACAAGAGCTGAAGCTCAACTGGGGTTTTGTTTGTGCTCTTTATTGAGACAATTTTATTGTTTACTATGTGTCCTTGTTTCAGATTTCTCTGAGATCAAATATGAAAACTTTTTTCCTTTTTTTTTTTTTTTTTAAAAAAAAATCAGTATGTTGACTGGTCTTGCTTTTACCTTGCTGGTTTTTGTTTTGCATAAACATTTCAAGGCTTTTGTGTTTAACTTGCTATGGTAAACAACCATGCCTTGCTTTTAAAGTGCTATGTCTGTGGTTATTTTTTTTTTTTCTCATTAGTCCTGTTGCACACCAAGATTGTTCCAGGAAGAAGGAACAGGACTTAAACTTGTATAATGTCTCCTGATGGTTTTCTGTTGTTGTTTTTTGTTGGGTTTCTTTATTTATTTTTTTTTGGCTAGCAGCTCTCAAAAAGTAATTCTGTATAGCTTTTCAGATTAGCAAGATCTTTGTTTAAAGTAATTTTTAAAGGATTAGAAATGATTTGCAGTCCAATATGGTAAAGTCCAGTTCATTGATTCCCCCCCCCCCCCCATCATACCCAGCCAGTACTCGGGTTTTATTGTATCAACAGTATCCTGTAAAGTCTAATAGTTAACAAAAAAGTCAGAGTTTATCCTGAACTTCCCAGAAATCATGTTTTAAATACACATCTGAAATAAATGCCTGTCTCCTTTTTAAAAAAAAAAAAAAAAGAAAAAGCCCTGAAAAACCTACTCTAATAAATTATATTATTATATTTCTAAGATTTGTCTCTTCTGTTGTGTGTTTTATTTTTTTTTTAGATGATTGCAAATGGAAAAAATGCTTCTGAGCTGTTTCCTGCTGTTGTGAAGAATGTTGCCAGTAAAAATATTGAGGTATTCCTATAGCTCATTAAGCATACTGTTATGGATGACCTCTTCATGAAAATTTTATCTAGTTGTATGTGGACTTCAGTGTAAACCATAAAATCTCTTGGATTTTTTAAATAGAATTTCTCAGGGTTAAATTTCAATGACAATGACTATAGTAATGGTTTAATGTGTAAATAAAGGGAACCTACTGGATTATTTGGAGGGAGGAATAGTAACTCTTTAAATTTAAAAAATTGATTGGTGAGGGAAGGTTTGTGGATGTGTGTTGGTGATTCTGAGAAAAGATACAGTAATTTGAGTTGTGGTGCTACTTGCAAAGTTTGAGTAGAGCTTGTGCTACATTGTATTTGAAAATGTCTGTTGCAGATCAAAGCTAAGAGGTAAGGGTTGGGTAAAAAACTTTTCACTGTTCTAATCATGTATATTTATAAAAGGAGTGTCTCGGCATTAGGATTGCAGAGTGAGATCACTTTAACTCAGTTAAACAAGTCTTTGTATGAATTCATGGTTAGGCAAAATGTGATATACTAATGGAGTGTGTTTAAAATAATTTTTTGTTGCACAATACTTATGTTGGTTCTTTTGATAATTTAGTTTAGAAAATTTGTTTAATGCTTTATTAATGGGCCTGTGATTCCAGAAGATTATAGAAAAGTAATGTTCAAATCTCAGAATCTTTTGGAGAAATGTGACTATTTTGGGGGTGATAGGTCCCATCTTGAGCAGAGAAAAAAAATTTTGCTAATATGCAGTGTAATCTCAGATCTTTGGGTTATTTTCATGTTTTGCAAGACATGAAGACTTTAAAGCAAAGTCCTACATGCATCTTGTGAATATGCCTTTGCTCATTTATTTTGTATGAAGAATTATCAAAGGAGGATATGAAGGGGCAGACAAGAACAATTTAAACTTCCTATAAAAGCAGCTAATGAAGAACCTAAGTCAGAATCACCTGTGATAAGAGTTAATTTCTTGAGACAAGTTGCTTGACTAAATTTATTCAACTTGTACTACATTCTATGACTTTTTAATTAAAAGAAGATGTGTTTAATAATTGTTTTCAGGATTTCTGTAGCTAAAACCAGTAGCAGAAATAGAAGTTTTTCTTTCAGGCTGTTTCCTATCCATTTTATTTTAGCAGCACATGTGCCGTTCTTGCCTGAATACCAGGTGTTACACACACAAAGTAGCTTGCTTCTGTATCTTTTTTTTTTCCTCATAAGAAAGCAAGAAAAAGAAAAAAAAAAAAGTCCATCTTGGACTAGTGAAAATTAGATTTTCGGGAAGTTAAAAAATGGAGATTGCATTTAACTGTTATGTGTTTAAATCCACAGGCTTACTATGTGGCTTGAGGAAATATAAAGCTGCATCTACATTAGAAAGTTATACAGCCAGAAGTTTTATAAAGAAAATGTTACTCTGATGCTCACTGCCAGTACTATGCATAACACTGTCAGCTCCAGTGCAGAGGTGTCAGAGTTATAGTTGACTTGACAAATGAGATTTGAATGAAAATAACATCTGGAAGTTCGTAGTTCTAGTCCACATAGTGACCAACAAGCAGCAGTTTGAGGAAAGCAGAATGACCATGCAGTGGTATTAGTTACTTCCTACTGCACAGAATCATTATTTTGGAAAAATGCAGGAAATAGTGGTTTGAAGCACTGGGTTTTAAGAAGAGAAATCAATTGAATGCATGCTCCAATTCTTCCCTCCTCTGGTGGAAATGTGTACTTCAGCCTCTCTTATTAATGGGAACAAAAAGTTTCTTTTTCCCTGGCTTAAGGCACTGAAGATTTTATTTCCTGTAATAATGACTTCAGCAAACTCCTGTCTCTCTCTAAGGTGCTGTGATATAGCAGGTCACAGATATGTCTGTTTTCTTCCTTATTTTACACGTATGAATAGTGATAGTCAAGTTTGGATATCATTTTAGCTTTAAAGATTTTGTTCTTATTTATCTACTTTTTAAAAACTTTGGTTTTTTCCATTCTTTGCTAATACATTTATTTGGCTGAGGCCAAATACTGAACTCTGATAAGTCAAGGAGGCATAACTGTGCAAAGATGACAACTCAGAGTGTTTCAGAACTTACTGTATAAAATAATTTTAGAAGCTGTAACTGTACTTTTAATAATAGGTGATAAAAGGAAATGGGGTGAGGAATCAGACTACTTAAATATTCTCTTCTTCTTTAACTTGTGTTTGTAAATTATGAGTACTCTAATTCCAGTTTTGAACAGAGATACCTTACACCAAAGAGAAGTGTCTTGAACAGTATTATTCATCTTGAGTGCTTCTAACTGTTAGGGCCGGAACCGCTAGCCCAACTGAGGCGAGACTGCCCCAGCTCCAGGCTTCCATCCCAACCAGTAGTGAGGCTGGTAGCGTGTTCCTGGTAGGTGTGCATACACACATACGTTTTGTGTGTATACACACATAAGAAATACATATGTACAGGGCACTCACATGAACGCAAACAGCACCAGCAGCTTGGTAGTTCAAGATTAAGGTCTGCTGGTGGGAATATATGTATAGAGACATGCATACGGTGTAGATCCATCCAACAGCTGGGCTCAGACATGGTCTGCCCAGTAGCTGGCCCCTGGATCCCAGTCACCCCCATTGTTGGCACCTGGACATATGAGCCCCTGACGCTGCAGCATTATTTCAGTTGCTCGTACAAACTGCTGTACACATAAGAGCACATGTAAAGCAGGACTCACCTGGTCACCCAGTAGCTACCCCCTCATGGTCTTGCCCTTAGACACACAAGTGTGTGCACATTTGCGCACACACAACTAGACCTGGCCAGAACTCCCCTAGTCTTCTACTAGCCAAACCCTTGTGGTTATGGCCTTAGAAAGATGCACACAAACACATGATTCTTGCCCCTAGAGACCCACAGACCATCTGGTTTCTCTGGCAGCTGGATTGGACTCCCCCAGTCTATGCTGTAGCCAGTTCCTCCTGTGGTCTTGCCGTTAGATGCCCACACCCTTACCTAGCTGCTTCCCAGGCCACTTTGCCTACTTGCTGGCTACTGCAGCTTGATCCACTGGTACACCTGCATCCATTCCAGTCACTGGCACCACAGACACATGGGCTTGGTTTCGCATATTCCAATCTCTTCAGTTGCTTTCATCAATGCTCGTGGGCCCTCTGGGCTGTGGTCCCAGTCCAGGTGCTGGCAGCCAGATCCTCACTTGTTCCAGGTGGTGTCCACTATGACTTGCCGTCCCTTTCCAGTTGCTGGAGCATCACTTAAGTCCCCTCACTCTGGTCTCTCCAGTTGCTGGTGCCCATGGACACATGGGCCCTCCAGCCTGTGGCTTGACTGTAGTTGCTGGCACATATCTGCACCTTCACACTGAACAGAGAGCAGATCACCAAAGAAAACAGTTAAAAAAGGAATTTAATGAGAAAATACAACAGACTGTGCTGGTTAGATGCAGGGCATGGAAGGGTGGATGTACCGATCAGCAACCTGTTTAGATGTGTCCACCCATTTTTATCTGCTTATGTCTCTATTTTCCCCACTTGTTTTTCCCAGGTCACACAGATTTCCCCTGCGTCTCCTTCACTGTAGTTCGTCCCCAAAACATCCCATGATAAGTCTTGTGCAGTCCTAAAATGCTCTTCATCGCATCCCATACCTGTACACAGAAAAGCCCCTCAGTCTGAAAGGTGATCTGGTGTTGACTCTTGATGGGTTTAACACCTGGACACAGAAGCTGAGGCTCTCCTAAGGTTGTCCTGGAAGGGGTCCGACAAGGTATCCTTTCCTCTGAGTCCTAAATTTGGCTTCCCTCTTACAATTGTGTCTCTCGGCACCTTTGGGCTGATGGTTCCTGTCATGGGTTTCAGAGAAGCTAGGGCAGGGTATTACTTGCAAACACCCCTCCGCCTCCCTTGTCTCTCTGCTCCTTTGTGGGTGTGCAGGCAAGGTTTTGTCAGGTAACCTAATATGAATTAGTAGAAGCCTTTCACTGTTTATATTTTATGGGCCTTTTCTTGTATTTTAAAACAAATAGACAGTTATATGAATTCACATCTTCCTCTATGCTGTAGTCAAAGTTCCCTCATTACTTATTTTTCCACCATTTAGTGCTAACATATTTGTGCGAGAAGAGGCTGCTAAACTGAAAAGAGACCAGGGTGTTCAGTAAGCCAGCTTATTAGTTTCTTTATCAAGGTTAGTTAGAGGACAAGTTTAGGTCATAATGCAGCTATACTTTCAGCCATCTAGTTAGCATGTCTGGGTCTCAGAAACCTTTATCATGGTCCAATTTTTAGGGTGCTTTTGAAATGATGAGAAATTACTAGGTTAATTCTAGATTCTTAGTACATTGATCTTGATACTGTTTTCTGAAACTGTTTTGCCAAACTTCTTCCTGTCCTTAAGAATTCTTACACAAATCTGTCTGTACAAATTGTTACAATGCAGTAGCAAATACATCAGTTCATCTGAGTGACTTTGTATCTGAGTGACTTTCCTGCCCAGAAATGGCTGCTGTCTTTTTTTTTTATCAGGGCTGAATGCTCTGATACAGGGAAATGGAGGTGAAGAAGCAGTAGAACACGTTCATTTGTTTTAAGAGAAGCAAAGGGCATCTTATTGTTTACAGAAGTGCCTTGTGATTTTTGTTTTTATAAGTACATACTGACCTCAACCTGATTATGTGCATCATGTCATGGATGGTAAGGATACAAAAAGTGACCTAATAAACAATTGGTGGTACAGAACAAAAATAAGTCTTGGTCAATAACTCATGGAGTTTGATGTGCTTATATTGATAAACTAATTAAACAAATCTGTCTGTGTTCCTCAAGCCTAATGTGCCCCTGTTATGATTAGTTTTATAGAAAGGAGCATTTCAACATTGAATGAAGGTAAATGGTAAAAGAATAGTGTAGTCACGAAGCTCTAAGTGCTTCCATTTCTAGTCACAGAGTGGTTTCAAGGAAAGGAGGCTTTCTTTGCACACCTGCAGTCATTCAGTGCATAGGCCTCTTGTGGTCAATGTTGATTGCTGCTTGTCTATAGCTGAACAACAAATAATTTAGTATGTTGTAACCTTCTGTGATTTAATATTATGCTTTTTGCCAGAATTGGCACAAAGATACATCTTCTGATAGTGACAGTAATTATAGCACAGCTGTAGTTGAGGGTCTTTCAGAATTTTCCATTATAAACCCCAATAGTTGGTTTACAACTCAAATGTAAAAAATGTTTTCACTGCTTCCTGGGCATACGGTCACCGTGAGGGGGTAAAGTGAACTAAATTGAATACCCTCCTCCCCCAAAATCATACTGAGGTTTTCTTAATCTTTGAACATTGCATCCTGTGTAGTATGCTTATATTGGCTACATCTTTTGAGTGCTTGTAGTCAGGCAAAGGTGGATCTAATATCCTTTGCTTTTGTCCAAGACATAGTCAGAAGTGCTCTTTTAATTGGATTTAAATAGTATTAGTTACCACACTTCAGCTGGAAGGTATATGCTTTTTCGAATGTGTTGAAGTAATTGATTTTAAATTGAACAGGCGTGGACTTGACAGATGGACCACTCAGTTGATAAGGAGTTGGCTGCATGGCCGCACTCAAAGAGTTGTGGTCAACAGCTAGATGTCCAAGTAGAAAACAGTGATGAGTGGTCTTCCCATGGGGTTAGTATTGGGACTGGTGCTGCTTAACGTCTTTGGTGACATGGACAGTGGGATCGAGTGCACCTTCATCAAGTTTGCTGATCACACCAAGCTGTGTGGTGCGGTCGACAAGCTGGAGGGAATGGATGCCATCCCAAGGAACCTGGACAGGTTTGAGAGGTGCGCCTGTTCAACTGGGCCAAGCGCAAGGTCCTGCACACGAGTTAAGGCAATCCCATGCACAAATATAGGCTGGGCAGAGAATGGGTTGAGAGCAGCCGTGAAGAGAAGGACTTGGGGGTGTTGGTGGATGAGAAGCTCAAAATGAGCTGGCAATGAGAGCTTGCAGCCCGGAGAGCCAGCTGTATCCTGCACCACCTCAGAAGTGTGGCCAGCAGGTCAAGGGAGATGATTCTGCCCCTCTGCTTCCCTCTGGTGAGACCCTACTCCAGCTCTGGGGTCCTTGGTATAAGAAGGACATGAGCCTGTTGGAGTGAGTCCAGAGAAGGGCCACAAAGATGATCATGGGGCTGGAGCACCTCTCCTGTGAGGACAGGCTGAGAGAGCTGGGTTTATTCAGCCTGGAGAAGAGAAGGCTCCGGGGACACCTTATAGCAGCCTTCCAATAATTAAAGGGAGCTTATAAGAAAGATGTGGAAGGACTCTTTATCAGGGAGTGTAGCGATAGGATGAAGCGTAATGGTTTTAAACTGAAAGAGCGTAGATTTAGATTAGGTATTAGGAAGAAATTCTTTACTGTGAGGTTGGTGGGACACTGGCACAGGTTGCCCAGAGAAGCCATTGGATGCCTTATCCCTGGAGGTTTTCAAGGCCAGGTTGGATGAGGCTTTGAGTAACCTGGTCTAGTAGTTGGGGGTTGGAACTAAGTGATCTTTAAGGTCCCTTCCAACCCAAACCATTCTATGATTTTGAGTTTCAGGGTAAAGTAAAATGGGCTTGTTGAAATTCTTGGCTATTGCAGTTTAACCTATTTTCCATATGAAAAAAACATGAAGGGTGCTCAAGTGGTCAGTTGCCACATGTCAAGTCTTTATTTACTAGTTGATAATATAAAGCAGTACTTTGTGTTATTAGCCTTCATCTGACTGTATCGTTAACTAGGTAATATTGCAGCACCTCAGGGAGTTTCTGTTAAAAGAATGATAGTAAATCATAAGACATTTGAGAAACGTGAGTATTCCATTGATATATTAACTCTTCCCTCAAAGATGAAAATGTTGATGAAATTGTGCAATCTAGGGCTTATTTTTATTTTAAAATTTTCTGATAATTATTTTCATTATGTTTTTCATTTCAGATAAAAAAGCTTGTATATGTTTATCTCATGCGTTATGCAGAGGAGCAGCAAGATCTAGCATTATTGTCCATCAGTACTTTCCAGCGTGCTTTAAAAGTGAGTGACTACTAAACAATATCTCATAGAGAAATTCTGAGCTGGTGTCACAAAAATAAAAATATCTGTATAAGTGTAGTCTGGTAAAATAAAGCACATAAATGTCTGCATCTGATAAAATAGTTTTATATCATTGACGAAGTGTTTTGTGCTCTCTCAAACCTCATCAAGCAGCTAAGCCTACATAAAGTAAAATTAATTCACTAAAGAAGAGTAGCAGATTGGTGCTCTCAAATTCACATGCCCAGTGTTTAATTTCTAGTATGCCTTTTCTCTTTCCAAGGTAGCTTATGTACGTCAAAAGAAGACCTTGTTATTACCCTGAACCACCTCTGTTCTTTTTAGTTTGTGTGAAAAAGATATTTGTGTACAACAGAGAATTGGAACATAAGCAAGACAGTAGTACCTAAATTAAAATATTCAATGTGTTGCACATGCTACTTTCTTATTAAAAGCACTGATGAATAAGCACTTTTTATTATTCCATTTCAAATTCAAATCACAATGGGGAATGAAATTAGAGAACAAAGCTTAGGATTGCCTTTGAAGTGTGACTGTGGAGAAAAGATTTATTAAGTCTCTCCTTAAATTTGGCCAGTTTTTGTAATAAGAGAAGGTTGGGTTTTTTTCTTGTACTCTTCTTGTAAGGCTGCTCTAGGTTCGTCATTAATTTCTGTCATGTCACTGATTCTGACCTTGCATCTTGTTGGAAAATGTTCCAATCAGAGCAACAGGTGTGCAACTGTAGGAGCATCCCACAAGTGACTAGAGAGCTTTCTTTCCCTTTCCTTCCAGCTTTTATCTCAATGTCATGCATACTGTCTTTACTATCTGTGACTGCCATGAAAAGCTAAAATTCAAGTGACTTGGTATGCTATGTTTTCACTGAGATATGTAGACTGAACACTTTTCATGGCATAACTTTTTTAAAAGCTGTGAATCATTGGAACAAAGGGAGAGGGGATAATTTAAATGTGACTGTGAGTAACTCAAAAAAGAAGTGGTGATGTGGCAAGGAGGTAGGCTCCAAGCTAGCTGAGATTTTCAGCAACTAAGGAAATTACTAAGCCTGCTATGGAAGATAAGCAAATGTAGTTAATTCTCTCTGTTCATTTTTTTGTAACGTTTTGTTTCTGGCTTTGTAAAGAAGATTATAATTTGCTTTTATGTGTGGAGATTTTTTCCTCCCAATTTAGGAAGAACTTTTTAGGGTATTTCAAATTTGTGTGATTGGAGATGAGCTTTGCAAACACTGATAAGAAACTGTTTTTCTAAAAACTGTCAAATTAAGTTCTTTCACTGTCCAGATACTTACTACTCAGAAGCTGCTAAGATGTAGGAGTTCTGAGAGCTTAGATGAACTGATCATTAAGTAATGCCAGTCTGAAAACCCATGTTGCCAACGCTCCGTCCTTGGCTGAAATGTTCTTTGGGAAGTGCCCTTCTGGCTCACAGTACACTGAATTAATGCTGCTGCAATTTCAGTTTGCTAGATTTTAGAGGATTTAGTACTTGGTTAAGCAACATTTCTCCCATATGTCCCAAGGCCATGATTAATGGGTGAGGTTTACATACCAGTTTCTCCAAATACAGATGTTTTGTGCTATTGTTGGATCACCAAGCTATTTACATTTAGCTTAATATTTTGACATGTTCTTAAGAAAATTCATTTTTTTACTGGCTTATATCTTGTGGTAAATCATAAAATGGATGTGTTGTCAAGAACTCAAGTGCGAGTGTTGCTACTGAGAACCACATTTTCATCTGAGAGTTCTTATATTTAAGTAATAAAACTGAGCTAGGTGTGTTTTTCAGAATATCTGAATTCCACTTGGATTGCAGAAAATGTTTCAGATCATTAAATAAAATTTTAGTCTTTTTATCCATCATTGCCATATTTTGCTTTGAAACGTCAATTATGTTAATGTTTTCCTTTGCCAGATTTCAAGATTTTCATAATGTTTCGGTGTTTTCTTTCTTACTTCCTTTTACTTTTTTCGGTTGTTGAGAGTTTTTTGTGTGAAGTTTGGCACATTTTCTTATTACTGTGGCCTTAGCTTGCAAGCTTGACTGATAGTCAGATAGATTTACATGTTTAAATGTGCAGTAGCTAATTAGTGTAAACACTGCAGAGAATTTAATGATGCGTTTCTGCACAATCTTACTTTATTTCTCCCTTTCTCTCCCATTCTTTAGGATCCTAATCAGCTAATCCGTGCAAGTGCTTTAAGAGTTTTATCCAGTATCCGTGTCCCAATTATTGTTCCTATTATGATGCTTGCCATTAAAGAAGCCTCTTCTGATTTATCTCCTTATGTGAGAAAGAACGCAGCCCATGCAATCCAAAAACTGTACAGGTGAGTGATTCTGACGAATACTGAAAAGCAATTTTAAGATAGTTGAGGGCTATGCTTATTAAGACTACTGGGGGGCATTGGCACGTCTCAGATAAATCAGATCTGTTTCTTAAAAAAGTATAAAGTGTGTGTAGACATTCCATCACTCAACTGATTTGGATGGAATTCAGGCAAGTCTCTTGCTTGCTAGAATAACGGGATAACTATGAAGAGATAGAAAAAGAAACTGATACGCTATCTTTTGTTTTTAGTATACCTGTTATTGTCATCTGTGTAACAACTATTTTGACGCATATTCTCAGAATTGAAGATTTCTGTGTTTAGCATCTGTATCTTCCATCCTGAAGGCATTTGCTGTAGTTTGTAGTACAGGTGACAAACAAATACTGACTCGTAGAAATTTTATCTATGCAAATCGAAATCTTCCTCTTCCCTCTTCAGAAATTCTTGTTGTGGAAGAGTTCTTTTGAAGAGGTGGGTGCTGGTTTACACAGGTAGAGGCAACAGAACCTGTACCTTTCCAAAATAAAGGCAAGCATTTACTGTACTACTTGGTTCCCTTTTATTTTACCTATGCCAAAAAGACGAGGGTGAGGAGTGTTAGGTGTTTGGAATCAGGTAACCTGAGGCTGCTGCATTTCCATGCCCCCTCAGACCAACCAGTGGCAAAGCTGAGCATGTATTCCTAATGGGCACATACATGCACATATACAACACACATGCACGCAGCCAGCTGTATAGATCAGCACAGGCAAAAAACAGCGCTCACACAGACAGGGCCAGCATCAACAGCCTTATCCTGTTGCACTCTGACTGATCAGGATGCAGGCCCATTAGTGGACCTACATATGTACAATATGGATCCCCCCATAATGATCCTCGATGCTCAATCTTTCCAGTAACTGGCCTTGGATGCCCAGTCTCCCTAGTCACTGCACATACCAGTGCACAATGCAACCCCACGGCACTTGCTGTTACAGACCCCCTCAGTCAGACCCACACATACCCCCACCCTTTCATTCAGACACTGTGAATCCCACAATAGCTAGGTTTAAACACTCAGACTATGCAGTAATGGGCCTTTATATCCCCTTGTCTCCAGTTGTCTCGCACTGGGTGGAGAGGAAGAGGAGGGAGAAAGAGAGACCGAGACACACAAATGGTTATCTCGGTCAACCTGCAGACCTTATAGTTTCTCCAATAGTTGGCCTGGGTGTCCTGGTCCCTCTGGTAGACAAAATCTCCAGCTGTCTCACTTGGAGACACCCACACATGTCCAGCCCAGGCGTACAGCTCTGCTTCAATACCAGGCTTCCCAAGCCACCTAGTCTGTCTTGATATTCTCTAACAGTCACACACTGACATACATACTTGCTCCAATTGCTGGTACTGCAGTTAAACGGGTCCCTACAACCCATGGCCCGACTCTAGTTGCTGGAGCTTAGACCTCCGTATCACGTGTGCACACAGAATAGAGACTGTCTAACCCAGGAAAATAGTTAGAAACAGACTTTAATGAGAAGGCAGAACAGGCTGTGGTCATCAGGTGCAGAGCACGGCCAGACGAGCATGCTGAACAGCAAAGTATTTACATGCGACTGGTTCCTTTTGTGCATATATCCCTCCATTTTTCTACACTTGTTCCTCCGGAAATCGTCTAGATCCCTCCCTTTTCATGTGTTTCATTTCTCCCATAAACATCCCATAGTAAGTCTTGTACAATCCCAAAATCCTCTTTCTGGTATCATGTAGTAAGTCTCATGGCCTTGTAGCTAGTACCACCCCTAAGTCTGAAAGGTGCTCTGGAGAGCCTCTCTCAGTCATGATAGGTTCATTTCAGGACTGATGGCTTTTCCATGGCAGCTCGCTGCAGACCTTGGGCAGGGGCTTCTACCTTCTGGTTATTTGGTTATTTTCTTTTTTTTTTTTGTTTTGTTTTGTTTTGTTTTGTTTTAATGTGCTGAGTGCTGTTGTGCGATAGCACTGGGAGTAGCTGGGTCAGGATGATATTGGAGTTCCCCCCACCTCTGTACTCCTCTGTGTGCAGACAAGCCTTTTATCACATAATGTAACAAGAGGGAATGGATTTTAAGTCCCTTCCTGCCATTTGAGAAGCTTGTATTTTTTTAAGCATCTGGTTCCAGCACACAAAAGACTTTTTGGCCTGAGTTATTCTCCATACACAGAATGTCCTTTGATTTCCTCATAGTATCAAAATTATCTGGAGGAGTTTGACAGTAATGGTCTGTCAGTGCCAGCAAGGCACAGCAGTATCTGGACAGCAGGCTATTCTGTGGAATTTTAGCTTAAATTGATGCTTCCATTTCTTCTGTTAATGACAGGCGAAGCTTATTTTAGTAGCCCAGATCAAAGAGCTGATTGGTGATTGGTACAAAACTGGAAGATGCTGATTACTAAATTTGATTACTAAAAGACCTTTATCCATCTTTTGTCCAGTCTGCAGATATGATTGCATCTTGAAATATAATTTACGTTTTATGTTATCTCTGGTTTATATGGTATCCTATGCTTATATGGTGTCAGTGGCAAGATTTTGAAGTCATCCTTACAAATACCATAAAAAGGTATGTTTTATGGTAAAAATAAGGCACAAAGTAAAAAAATACAGCAGCACAATCTGGAGAAACTGGCCTGGCTCTTTTCTAGCTTCTATGAATTCCTGACTGGTAGTGAAATGGACATCTAGCTGACATAGCAAAGAAAAACTAATGAAAATAATGTTCTTTAAAGATTTCCTTAATGCTTTAGAGGGTCTGTACATCCTTCACAAGCTTTCACTTCATGCGAACATCCTAGGCATCATAACGCAAGTTTTCAAACTGCTGTTGTAGCTGCACATGCCACCTTACCTGGACTAGAATAAGCTTCATGATTACTTGTGAGTGGAGTTGTAACTAACAATTGTGTCCTTAGTAGTAGGATTTGGAAACTGCTTATAGAAAGCATATGAACTTTTCTTGTCACATTTTCAGAATTTACTTGTACAAATGCCCTATGTGATAGCACTGGTTTACAGCAGGACCAAGGGAGAGAGAGTATAGTTTTCTGGATTCCTTGAAGAAGCACCAGTACTGAGAACTGGTGAATTAATCTGTCCACCAGCAGGCCCAGTTGGCTTGCCTGCAAGTAAGAGTCTTTAACAGGCAGACTCAGCAGATGGTTCAACAAAGATCACAACTGGTAGCTCTACAATTGAGAGATACAGATCATATACTGGTGGCAAGGCTGTCTTTTGGCCTATTTGTAATGAGCAAGTAATTTCAGAAGACTTGCCCTGAAGTTGGTCAAAATCAGAATTCTGGAGAGGGTGGATTTTTGATGTGAAGATCAGTCAGCAGTTTATATGCTCTCCTACATTTAATTACTCCATCTTCTGTGAGCATTTGAGTAAGAAGAAGTAACAGTTTATTCTTACAGTGCCTGCATGCTCCATTTGCTTTTTGATTTCCATGACTTCTCTACCTGTTTGATAGTCCTGTGGTTCAGTTAGTGCTCCAGTCAGACTTCTGGATGGAGGTTCGATACTCCAATCTTCCTTACATTTAGTCTCATGGTGTTTGGATGGATGTCTGACCTAGAAGAGCTTGTTCATTAGTGGTTCAATCAATCCTAACAGCAGGAAGCTTACATATCAAACAGAAAAGATTTCAGGCATAGTGTGAACAGCAACATTTGCGCCCAATGCAATCAACGTTGCCAGGTACATTGGAGTAATTTTATCATTGAAAATGTCAGACCTCTTGCTTATTTCACTTAGAGTGCATTTCAAAGCTATTAGTATCTTCTGTCTATCAATAGAAAACTCTAGCCTGTACTTGCATGTACAGTGAGATTTGGGAAAGGACTTCTTATCAGCCCCATCACTAGTATTAAGAGATTCCATGCTATTACTGGTAGATACTATAGTGGGAGCAGATCATTCTGAGCTGTTTAGGCTGTTCTTTAATTTTCTTTCCAAGAATGCTGCCTTCCTTATCTAAAACATCAGGAAAGAGGAGGGGGAGGAATGTGAATTCAGTTATTGGCACCCGCACTGAAGATTTTCTTACTATGTAACAAAATCGGTATTTTTCAAAGTTTGTTAGTAATAAGTACTCCTTTCTCTCTTTAAATTTTATACTAACTTTGCAAATTCAAAATAAGGCCTATTAGAAAGACTTTTGGCTGTTCCTCTGAAGGTCTTGGTCTTTGGCAGAAGATCCAGTAAACTTTTTTTAACAAAAATAGAAGTTGGAACAAAAGGTGATCATAAAAGTACTTATGGAACAATGCGCTGTTGCTTTGCTTATGCTGATGGTGGCTTATCCGTTTTGTTATCTGTTTAGCATGTTCTAGTATTGCTAGGTATTAGAGGCTTAGCAAAGTAGTATGCAGCTAGATACTTTGAATCTGTAGCTGGAAAAGATATACTGTGCGTTAGGGCAGTTCATCGCTCAGCGTTAAAGCTGAAGCATACAATAATGACCAAATAGTTCCTTACTTATTTGTAATTGTATCCACATTGAAATGACTTTTCAAAGGCATAGAACTATACAACTGTATGGCTCTTTGTACCTGCTCTCTCCTTTTATTTTCTTCTGCCTTGGCTTTGAATTCTTCCATGCTCTATAGATCCATAATGAAGAAGCAGCTGGAGTGAAGAGTTGGTCCTGACCTACCTAAGAAGCAAGCTTGACAGTAATAGATGTTTCTAGCAAATTTTTCTCTGCTTTTTGAATATGAAAAGGACAGTACAAAGGTTGATGTTTGCAACTTTTGTTTTTACTATTTATACAGGACTTCAGTTTGTTTTTCATCAGCTTTCACTCAAGCTTTGTATAGATACACTTGAATACAATGTCCAAATTTTTCAGTTCCAATACTTCTGACTGAAATTAGTGAAGTTAACAAAGTGTCTTATTTGAAGCATTATAATTAGATAATAAAGGCATGATTGTGCTTTGTCCTAATGTTCATTCACTGCTGAATTCATTCAGGATGAAATTCCCTTCTGCAAAAGCAGTGAGGTCCTTGTGACTTAACATCTGAATCTCAGTCAAATTCTCCCTAATGGGTTGGCCTGTCTTAATATTTCTTAAAACCTAAAATTTTTATGAGTTTAGGTATTAAGATTCTTACAGAACACACATAAGTGGTAACATAAAGTTAATCTTTATAATCTAATTTTATACTCCTTCAATTCAGTTCTATATTCCATGATTAACTTTATTTTCAGTAAAGTTCTTTTACAGTCATTTCTTTGGAATACTTGATTTTTCTGTAAGTGGTTTTTTTTCAATGCTTTTGTTTCCCAGCTTGTGTCTAAAGGTCAACAAACCTAACATCTTTTAATTTTGGATATGTCTGACCAAATGAATAAGAATAATTTTTATTTTTCCTTCTAGTCTTGATCCAGAGCAAAAGGAAATGTTGATTGAAGTGATAGAAAAGCTTTTGAAGGACAGAAGTACGGTAAGAAACAGTATGCTATTACATATGCATATATTTTTAAAGAGTTTACTCCTGAGGCTGTCATTCAGCAGTACATAATACACTTTCCTAACCCTTGCTGATGTGGTTTTACATGTTTTTAGATAGAAGTATCATCATGTATTTATGCATTATACTATGACTGTAACAGTGACCATCTTCTTTAATAAGGCTGGTAATTGTACTTGGATCATGGGTATTCTGATTTGTTAGCATGTTTTTGTGTGCTTCTTTAAACTTAATTTTGAAAATGGAAGTTATATAATTATATGAATCAGTGTACAAGTGTCTATGTATAAACACTTTTTCAGTGAGAAATTAGCTAGGCCGTTTCAATTTGTTTGTGGTACTGTAAGAGTAAATTAATTCTGTACAATGCACAGTATGCCTGTTGAAGTCAGTCTGCCCTGTAGTGTGTACAATTGTTAAACAATGATACTTGCTGTGCACTTGTTTGTTCTTGCAAATATCCCCACTTCCAATCTGGTAAATAAAACAGATGTCCTGGGACAATTTCTGTAAATTTAACACTCCTGATACATTTTCCCTGCCCTGTATATGTACAGGTTTTCTGTATGAACTCCTGGATGTCTCGCAATGGTCACACACTTTATTTTTCTTCCTCCACCCTACAAATAAGTTTCCCAAGTCTAAGCCAGAAAGGTAATTGAGTAAGGAGTCAAAGACAGACTTCAAATAGAAAAAAAGAGTTGTAAATTAAAACAGTCTCTTGTTCTTCTTGTTCAGATAACTAATTTAGTGAATGTAATCCTTTTTTGAGTAAATGAAAGTATTACTAGGTACCAGATAGCGTGTTGCTTCATCTCCTATTTGCCAAGTGTTTTTGTAACATACAGGAATATATCATCTGTTGTTCTAGCACAGTCCAGGTGTCCAGGACATAAATGGTGCTGCTCTCTAAAAGACATCTTGCAACTTCCACTGAAGGGTTACTGAAGGAGAGTGTCAGAGCTTAATGGCTCAGCAGACAGTAAATCAGCTAGTTAGTTCTCCTGACTGCATCTATGCTTGACCTGTATTCATTTGTCAGAGGCCTTTGTGCTTCTGTGGAGTTGCCCCCCAGTGGTTCTTTGTGTATTTTCTTTTCGTGGTTCATGCTCTTGGTGTGCATGCAATCTGTGAATGTGAGATTAGATTCTTTATACCTGTGGAGGCATAAACGTCTGAGAAGCCGTCTTTGTTTCTTTTTATTGCTGATGGCAAGAAAATAAAATCCATGAGTTTTCACTCTGTTTCCTAGTACTTATTGCTTATGGTAAATGGCAAGTTATGCAACAACTAGTCATCTACACATTTACTTTAACCAGATGTTAGAGGAAAAAAGCATAGTGTAGGTTTGGATCTTCTTTTTCTCCAGCACACTGATCTTGGCACTTGGAGTTACTTTTAAGGGGATTAATGCTCGTTGCTTATTATGTGCCACAATTCTGGCACCTCTGTGACACTGAACAATGGACACTGTATTTATGAAGATACCAGCTGAAGCAATAACCAAAGTTATTTTGTCAGCACATTCAAGAAGCTAAGAATGATGGTCTGGAATTGGGTCTTCTGGACTTCTTTGGAGACACAATGTGGTTAAATGCTGCAACTATTTCCTCTCTCTGATTCCTTTCAGTCTGTTCCCTAGCAAGACCTGGCTCCAGCCTGGGCTGAGTCATGTCAGCTTCAGAAGTTTTACCTTTTCAACAAGTGATATGAAGAATTATTATTCCAAAAAGGAACCGTAAAAATCTGTTTTCAGGACTCTCTGAATCAAAACCAAGGATTAATATGTGCACTTTCATCCCAGACTCCGCAGCCTGCTGTGATCTAAAGTGGATCAATCTCTCTTTAATCCTTGATAGCTTTGGCAAGACCAGTCTAGCATGGAAAAGCTTCACCTTAAGTAGTTATCTTTTGTCATGTTCCACTGAATGTTCCCAGAAAGCCTACACATTTACTAACAGAAAGCGGGTAGTGCACAAGTGTTTTATTAGCAGGTAACTCCAATCTGAATAAGCGTGTTCTTTGCCTCTAATTGGAGAACATAGCCATTTGCTTGTAGTGGAGGAAACAAAGTGCCACTTGTAGCTACTTTTAGCTTTTAAAGTTGGAGGAGATGCAGCTGCTTATGGGTGGTGGTCCTTATGGACAGGTGTGTACACATGTAACCTATATAACCTTAGGTTGGCTACTTTTTAAGTCTTATTTAAGCTTTGCTTGGGAATTTAGTATTAATTTGAACCACCTTTTTGTATTTTCTAGGGGAAGATTAATTTCATACACTTAGCATAAATGAAAAAGCTCCTGCTACATACATAGACAAAAGCTTTTAGAAAATATTTTGCAGTCTCTGTGAAGAAAGTTAAGATGGGTTTGTTGCCACAGGAATCCTAGAAATCAGTCCGAGTATTTTATCATAGCCTTATGAAGTGCATGTGTTTCATTAATGGTATTTCTCAATTTTTTGCGACTTCCATTGCCTGTTTGACAGTCAGATGGCCTGAAATTTGTAGGCTGATAACGTGGAGCTCAGACTACAGGCGTTTACTTGACACTAATCTTTGGATTCATTCAATTTAAATCCACAGAATCTGTTCCCTTACATCAACATTAGTTGTCATCTCTCGTAGTTTTAAACTAATGTTAGCAGATCAGTTCACTGGGAAAGTGATGGTGTTTTCATTAAATAGTGTCTTTACCAGACTGAGAGAACCTTAGTGACTTTGGAAATTGTTGAACATTGGTGGTTCTCTACCTTTTTTCCCTTAATGGAAATTTCAGGTTACTTCTGGCATTTCTGTGTATTTAAGGGCTGATAATACCCAGAGAAACCATAATGCATTGTATATAATGGTGTTATGGGACAGTCCACCATGTGATTTTTTTGTTTGTTTTTTTTTTGTTCTTACTCCATTTGTTTTAGACATGATTTAGACATCTTTGAGACTTCACTTTAATAAAAAGTAAGTTTTTACTTATAATTTGTTTATTTTCTGTAACCATTTGACCTCAGGCAGCGTCTTTGAAACTTACTGACATAATCTCTACATTAAAGTGAGGTAGAATAGCTACTAAACATAGATACCTGTAAATTTATCTAAACCAGATTATTTTTTTTTCCAGAGAAAACATGCTATTGTGGATTATTAATGCAGTTTGTGTTGTACAGAAAAGGCCCAATGTATTTAAATTAGTCAGAGTCATTTTACATTTGAAATGGCAAGAAAAAGTCTGGATGGGAATTTTACTACAGTAAAATTAAGCCATTTTATCAGACTATGCAAAATGTGTTCATTTTTTAGGTCTCAATCAGTAGTAAATTTTAATATAAGCTGAGGTAAGCAAAACTTAAAATAAGATGAGATCTAACCTTAACCCAGCACTTCATTAAAATTTCTGGTGAGATAAATGAAAGATCACTATACTCCTTAAGTGTCTTAACACAAAGATTCAATTAAAAGCCAAGCTCTCAGTTAATCTAAGATGCAAAATTATCAAGTGCAAACCATCGTTAACATACCCTGAAGGGTAGCTAACTGGGAATTACAGTGTATCAACAAAGCTGTGATTTTGTGCGAGGTTGTTTTACTTTTAAGATAAGGTGTCTACAAATATTTTTATTATAGAGACTGAAGAAACTCCTAGTTACATTTTCACCCTTGCTCTACAGGAAAAAGTACCTCAGACTTTGATAAGCAGGTACAAAAGCATGAATGCCTGCTCCCTTTTTTTTTTTCCTAGCAATTCTAGATAATTGAGCAGCTGACATGTTTTTATGTAGAAAGGAAGATAAGAGCACGTGTGTATTTTATGCTATAATGATTTTCTCAAAGTAATATAGCTAATCACATAGTCATGTGTGAAGGCATAATTGGGTATTTCAGAAGAAACTAGTTCTCTTTTTCGTTTTGGTGGTTCTGTATCACTTCACTCCGATACTGTTTTTTCCATTCACTTAACAATACTGATGATCTAGCTTTGGGGGGCATAGGGTTTAAGGCAGGATTTATTGCTGTTGTGGTTTAACCAAAGGCAGCAGATAGGACCATGCAGCCACTCACTCACTCTCCCCAGCTGGGACTGGGGAGAGAATCGGAAAAGTAAAAGTGAGACAACTTGTGGGTTGAGATAAAGATAATTTAATAGGTAAAGCAAAAGCTGTGCATGCAAGCAAAGCAGAACAAGGAATTCATTCACTGCTTCCCACGGGCAGGCAGGTGTCCAGCCATCTCCAGGAAAGCAGGGCTCCATCACACGTAACAGTTACTTGGGAAGACAAATGCCATCACTCCGAATGTCCCCTGCTTCCTTCTTCCCCCAGCTTTATATGCTGAGCATGATGTCACATGGTATGGAACATCCTTTTGGTCAGTTGGGGCCAGCTGTGGCAGCTGTGTCCCCTCTCAACTGCTTCTGCACCCCCAGCCCTCGCTGTCAGAGTGGTGTGAGGAGCAGAAAAGGCCTTGACTGCCTAGCAACAACTAAAACCACCAGTGCACTATCAAAAGTATTTCTCATCCCAAATCCAAAATGTAGCACTATCCAGCTGCTAATAGAAAAGTTAACTCTGTCCCAACTGAAACCACAACAGTTGCTTAAGTTGCTTTTGGAATACTGTGAAGGACTGTAGAACTGCATTGAGTTTGTAGGCTGTGTATTTTACAACTCTGATTGTGTAAACAACAATAAAAATCAAGTTCATTAATGATAGCTGAGTTACAGCAGCTTAAAGTCTACGTTGATACTGAAAAGCAATCAAGTCCATTGTCCAAACCCGTAAAGCAAAAAGAACTTGTGACTTGCATTCCTCAGTCCAAACCAAAGTATGCCTAAGTGTATGTAAAGCTGCATCTAAAAAGAAAAGGCAGAATGTAGACCTGTAGCTGGGATGTAGTTGTATGGATACTAGGCATATTAAAAATGTCCAAATTTATTGCAGGTTTTTGTCTTTAACTTTGTTCTGTTTTTATTTTGTTTGGACAGATACCTCTGTTATAAAGAAGGTTGATGATGTTTGTGTGGAAATACAAATGCATGTGCATTTGAATTTTTTTCAGCCCCATCCAGAGAACTGGGTTAATATGTGGCCACAGATATTTTGTGCGATGTAGTAGCTGTTGCTACTATAGGTCCTGTTCTGGGACCAGGTAGTACACAGAGTGCAGCACTGCTTTTGAACTCTTCTAAGACAGAAGAATATTAGAAAGAAATTTCAAAACATGTTGGCCTGACTTTCAGATACTGATTGTCTCCCAAGTATGTACTCCTGATGTAGTGTTCCCAGAAACCTCTGTTGTGAAGTAATATGGGAAGGGATAGAGGCAAGTTTTGGGTGAAGACTGACAGTAAATTAGCTTATGGCGTGGAATCTTTTTATTGCTAATTAATATTTACACTCTTTTTCTAGAGGCTAAATTTTCCTTTAGCCTCTGATTAAATAATATTTTTTTCCTTTAATGAGGAAATTTTAATCACATCAAAGTATTGTAATATTTAAGTAAATTTATTATTCTGTTGTGGTGTGATAATTTACTCCTAAATACTACAGATGCAACTTAGTATGAATTCTGTTTTGGGGGTGAAAAGACTTCATACAAACATGTGAATATTGAGATTTCTTCTGCAGACTGCATGGTACTAGATGAAGCACAGGTTCTTGCAAAGTGAGACCCCTTAGATTAAAAAATGATCCTATGAATTGGTGATGGCTTTGTGATAAAGATCTTAATCTTATAAACTAAAGCAGTGTATTTGGGGATAATGGGGAAAGAAAGCTGGACTCTACTTCTCAACAGTAGGCTTCTGTTAATAAGTTAATGTTTTAGTTTAGAACCCAAATGTATGGATAAGACAATGTTTTCTTAAATTATTGATTTAATGTTGGTAAAAGCTTCACTTTTGTGGAAAAATATTACTGAGTTTGTGCAGATGTTTTATTGTGATAGATCTATTATCCAGCTATTAGAAGATAAATGACTGATCTTTTCCAGTTTCCTTGCGTCCAGAAAATTGAAATAAGAAGGGGAATATCATTTGGGCTGTGTGATTAGGGCAGGTGGGGTGGCCATTAATTTAAGAGAGAGGAATCTTGGCAGCATAGGCCAACTTGCACTGTATTATCAATCAAACCTCGATGCACTTCTTGTGATGACCCAGCACTCTCAGGTTTTCGCAGCGTTAATTAGAATTCATGACAAAATAGATGCAAGGAAACGTTTTGTACCCTTCATAATTTTATAGAAAATTTATTGTTATTAGAGGAACCATTTGCTTAGTGTGATTTTTTTCATTACCAGCTTGTCAACTAGCATAGATAATCTGGAGAAAATATGAACTCCATAGATTGGGTGTCACTTTTGTTGATGGTTCATGTAGTTTACCTTGGAGCACAGCTAATGGCTGAAGTTCATAGCAACAGCACAGAAAAACGTGGCAACCAGTGGAAGACAAATGAACCATGTTTATTGCTTTAATATAAAAAATACATAAATGGAAAGCAGCATTTGAATTTGATGAGCTCATTGCTGGTTTTGTTGGAGTGATTTATATTTTCTCCTTATACAAAAAGCTACTATTGACACAGTGAGATGGAAATTAACTGACTGTTTTTTGGAAACCTATATTTTTTGGTTTTATATTCTGATTGGATCGTTTTGTTTTAATTCTAAATATTTTTATGGAATGTTGAGCATTTAATAAACAGAGATTATTAGCTGCTCCTCTGATGTTTAGATGTATAGTAGGATCATACTATAGGGGAAACAGTGTCAACTAGAAAATAATCTCTTAATAAGAAAGCATTAGGAAATTTTCTCAGATAAATCCTCTTGTTACCAGTGCATTTTCAATCTGTCTTACACTCTCACTTTTTTTTTTCCCCCCTTTCAAATGAAAAGCCTAATTTTGGAAAATGCAATAACGGGCAGAGGGGCATGATCTTAAATAGTGTCATGATGTATGGCAATTCCTGTATTAACTTGTAAGTCTATGGACTCCTCTTGCATTTCATAATGTATGTTCAAATTTTTATTAATATCTCTTAAGCATTCACAAGTGACAGCATTCTCCTTGTAAACTTGAGTAGGTGACTGATGTGAATTTAAATAAATAATTATTTTAAATCTTGTATTTCAGTATGACTGTTCTTGTGTATTGAATTGTCACGTTTTACTCGCAGGAACTGAACTTCTAAAAAGCCAGCGCGGTTCATAGGATATGTGCTCAGTTTTAAAAGATCTAAACTAGTGTTACATGTATTATTTTATGTCAGCTTTCAAACTATATCATATCCAAATGGAAGAGAAATAAAGCAAAATGTGTGTGCAGTACTAGTAGCAATAAAAGGCAAGGGTATCCACTCCAGACTACAGTTGGACAGCAGCATCTGTGTTGTCCTTCACCTATAAACCTAAAAGGGTATTTTTAAATATTAGGCTGTGACTATTCTTACAGTCATAAATCGATCTATGTGTCATTCTCTCTCTCTCTCCCCCTGCCCTTCCCTACCTCCTTTACTCCCTTTGTATGTCAAACCTGTCAAGAGACCCTATACTGTCTTGTGGTGTGAAGGAGTAGAATATCCATAATAAAGTCTATGGGTCAGTGACTAAAAAAAGTCTCCATGATCTAAAAGTGTCATCTCTTTCTTCTAAAACTTCAGGTCCATCACGCTGTCCTCTGCAAGCTGGCCTTAGCTATAGGTCGGAGTTTTGCATCCTGATAAAATTGCTTTGCTACAAGCGAGTTCTGACATAGAACTCTTCCCACCCTTCCTCTCTTCCATTGTCAACTGGTCTCGCCTACTCAGGACTGATGGTGGTTTGCCTGGAATTAATGACTGTCTTCTGATGAGCTTTGAACCCACATCTAAGCATCAACTTGCAGCAGTTTTTAATTACAGAATAGGTTCCCACAGCACGTTATTAAAAAGAAAGTTTAATACAACAGCATTAAAAAAAAAAAGCTATTGTTTTTGTGATACAGCAAAAAATAGCAAATTATTTTAGATGTAAAGTGTGTTTTTATTTAGCTCTATCAAATAATCAAATTTTGCTTCCTGGAATGAGTTGTATACTTGTTGGGACCAAAAGTTACCAGTATGTGGACAGGGCTGGAGACAATAAATGCAACTTCACGTTTATTCTTATTGGTAATTCATAAAATCCCCACAGAGCCTGAAACTTGTTTAGCATAATAGCAAGACTATATTCTGAGCTGTTTTCTTTCAATTGTAATGTTGGGCGCATACTAATAAACCAAATGTCAGCCAAATACAGGGAGAAAAATGTAACATATGAATATCATTGTATTTAATATTTCTCAAAAAGTACCATTTCAATAAACTGCACTTCTATTTAATTGCTTACTTTAAGTCATTGGGGAAATTTTAGAGGTTGAAATGCAGATCCCCAGCGCTCAGATAGAATATGACATTAATTTGCTGCCAGAAGGCTATGCTACATGCATGCTAACTGCATACATATCAGCTGCTTCATATAAAGTCTCATCATTTTAGTTATTTGACTTAACATGTACTCTGACACAAAACAAATCTTAATTAAAGCAATTAGAAGAGAAAGAACAGCAATTCCAGGCGTACAATGACATGTCCTTATAATGCATGGTCAGCTTTCGCGGTTTTCCCACAGTTAAAGTAACCTGCTGCCAGAATTTTAATAGGAACCCCAATATATGTTACCTTTATTTTTAAAAGAAAAAACCCTATCAGAAGGTTTCAGTAAGCCTGGCAGTGTTACAATGTTGAGAATCTATCCAATTTTCTCATGAAAACAAATTATTTTTATAATCATCATCCGTATGAGGATCTTTGTGCATATATAAAGATTTATTTCTTATGGAGGCAAAAAAGTGTTTGAGGACATAGCAAGGCATAAACAATCCATTCCTGTAATTTTCAGACTGTTAGGGAAGTGCTGAACAACATGTGGAAATTCTGCTTGTGTTCTTAATTAATAATAATTCTTGAGTATTAATGTATCTGTATTGTATTGCTGATTTTCTTGCCTTTTTTTGCAAAGTGTATTCATGAAACTAAATATAAAATTTCATATGACAGTTAATTTTGCCATTTCGAGAGAGAAGTTGGGGTCCCACCAGTGTTGGAAAACTTACCCCAGCTCCTCTTTAGTTTCATCACACCATTGTTGATAAGAGGATCCCAATAGACCTTGTTGAGCATTTTGCTGTATCATACTTTTTGTTGTTTCCTGTTATTTCTGAGTTAATTGCAAGTTCTCTGATAATTTATTTGGAAACTATAACTGTAAGGAAAAAAAAAATGCTTACATTGCACTGTGTCTTCAGGGCTGGGAGCTAAGATTTATGTATGTAATAGAAACAGCAAATGTTTTCTCCGTTCTAATAAACTTACCCCAAATCTATTTTAAATAAGATACCATTTCTGTAGGCTTAGGGTTGTTCGTTGTTGTTGTTTCTTTTCACTGAATAGAATCAATTTGAAATTGCTGAGACTTGCTAGTATTAATTCTGATTCTTGCTTGTGGATGAACTGTAGAAGGGACACTGAACATCTGGTTTATATTTTGTTTTTTAGCTGGTAGCTGGGAGCGTTGTGATGGCATTTGAGGAAGTGTGTCCAGATAGAATAGATCTGATTCACAAGAACTACCGAAAACTCTGTAACTTGTTGGTTGACGTGGAAGAGTGGGGTCAAGTTGTTATAATCCACATGTTAACTCGATATGCACGTACACAGTTTGTAAGCCCATGGAAGGTAAGTTTGTGGCTTTTTTTTTTAAATTACTATTATGTGCTTGCATTCTGAATTGTTTCCGTTGTTGGATATACTTAGTCTTTTAAGATGGATTTTTATGCAGACTTTAATAAAAATAGAAATCAAATGCATAAGTCTTAGCTCTGTAAGGCTTCACTAACACAAGGCATGCATTCTTCTTCAGAGCATGAGAATTCTCCTTCCAGGCTATAACCTGTTTTGATTTACCCTGGGCACGTCCTGTCAGCAGCAGAGAGTGCTTTTTCCGTGGTTCTTTGAGCAACATGGCTCTTTGCTATAGGAGATTTTACGTGAATCAGAGCTGGAAAGGTTTGCCACTCTGTCTTGAAACTGGGTAGAATCTTCTTTCTATGTAGATATGAATACTCAGCATAGTGAACAGTACGCTCCTTGTCTATGTGCTGAGGGACTGTGTGAAGACTTGAATATATGGTTTTAAACCGTGCAATGTAAAAAATAGTTTGGCATTTTCATTTATATTACATAAATATGAGTTTACTCTTACTTAAAATTTACATAAAAGGATATTCAAAATGCAAATCCTATCACTTTTAACAACAAAAAAATAGCTCAAGAAATAGATGCTATTAATATTGGTTTCAATAGAGATTTAACTCCAAATAACAAATTAAATTAAAAGACAGAATACTTCTGGAAAGAACTGTATAAAATTGCTCCACAGCTCTGGTTGGTTGCATTTAGTACAGGCTTGTGGGTGTTACTACTGGTAAGTTTTACCATTTAATGTGAAACTAATTTGTGTTTAAAGATCTACATGTTCAGTGATATATATACTGTTTTATAGCAGTAGTTGCAGATGGACTTTGTACAGTTGCATAAAAGGATGTTTGGGGGGACCTACTTGTAATGAATGTAACGTGATCTCAGAATCTTAGAGAAAGTTTCATTGTTTGATTTTATTTTTTTTTAATTTATTTTATTTCTCTGTTTCTTTAGACTGAAGTAATTCTGCTATAGCTCAGCTAATGTGTCTTAACACTTCTGTTCAGGCATTGTTATTTCAGTGCAGGTTATTGTGGTTTGTAATTAACACATTAGTGTTTTTTTAAAGGCTTCTTTTTTTTCAGCACTGGAATACAGAATGACACCAGCTATCACTGAGTTCTTTCAAGTTCTGCCTTTTAATACGCTTTGCCTGGGAATCAGACTGAAATGCAGGGGCATTCTATGTTAATAAACATATGATTTATTATGTGAAAATAATTATAAGGAGACATATTTGGACAAACGGCTAATTTCAGCCTGATTTAGTTTATAATTGTATTCACTACTTCTTAAATAAGTAGGAGTTATAATGATTAGAAAACTGGAAAAGTAGCAAAAATGTCTGAAGTCGAATCATATTTTTGCACTACCAGTTGGGTTCTGGAACGCCCTTTTTCATTTCAGATGAAAATTAAAATGTTTGTAAGAACACATCTTTCCAGGAAACAGCTTAAAGTAAGGAAAGTATTTTTAGATAATGAGAGATTTAAGTAATATGTCCTAACGTCCGTGAGTGTTTATTACATGTTGCTTGTTGAAAGAAAGTAACTTGCATTCTTCTCTCTGACCTTTAGAAAGAATCAAAATTGATAACTTGTTTTGCCTAAAACTACAGTTTCACAATTGGTTTAAGTCAGTTTTCGTCTGTGATTGGTCAAAGGAAGCGTAGAAGAAGAGGATGACCTCCTGTCTTGGACTGAGAGGTTGGACGTCTTGGTGGGATTAGGTTTCTTTAAGACTAATGTTCTTTTTTTCACTGAAACTGGGTGGATGATAATTGTTGTTGTGGCTTCTGCTATAGGACGTAAAAGGTCTGTGTAACAATACTGTGTCAACCTAAAATTGGTCATCAGTGGTATAGTATTAATAACGCTGTGTTTCCACTTTCATGAGCTTCAGTGCAAAATTTAGTTTGTCTACCTACTCAGCAATTAAATTAGCAGAATTTTTTTCGGGGGCTAGTTGAAAAGCGTGCCTTTGTCAATAAGTTCTTAAATGAACTCATCATACAACAGGGCATCTTGTGCAGTAGAAGAGATTTTTAATTTAGTTTATTTGCATCATTATGGATCAGTATTTAGGCTGTTTATATGTAAATGTATGATTTGAGGAACAATTAAGTGTTGACAAAGTAGATTGCAGTCATATCAATTGCAGTGCATTTTCCATAATTTTTCTAACTGACATCTTTGATGATAAATAGTGGATGCCAAGTCAAAGCCGATTATACAGTGCACTAGGAATTCATGGCGCTGTCAGGGAGAAGACCGATTGACTTTAAATTTACATATTAATGAGAAGATTTGTTAAGAGGGTGCTTGACTATAGAAAATAACAGCATATTTATAGGGCACGACACTTTATAAATAAAGCTGATGCAGGAAAATGGAAATTAAACCTATCAGATTAATAAATTCAAGGCTGGTAAAATGCATATTTGCATTTTTATTCACTAAAATTTGCCTTACTTTTTGAGAAACGTATGCTGCTTTTGTTCAAGTTGAGCTAATTCCCAGCAAGTAATGGTGTGATGTTTTGAACCAATTTCTTACACATTTAGAAACCTAAAAAAAAAATAAATAAAATTGGAATACCTACCTGTTATGGAGAAAAATCATTTTTTGAGCAATATGTTTAAAATTGTTGCAAAACTTTAATTGAATTACCCATTAACCAAGAATATTTAGTTTTATATCCCTGTTTTTAACTTCTCTGAAGTTTATTTTTTTTTAATTCTGATCATAAACGCTGAGAGGAAGAATGTCCTCGGTTTACCCTATTTGTCTTCAAATACTTACAGGGTATTTTTGAAGTAGTTACATGTGAATAGCAGTTTCAGAATAACCTTTTTTCCATGTGAACTCTGTTCAACTTTAACATGTATTATCTGGAATGAGAGCAAGACGCTCATATTCTGAAGTGAAAAACCTGCTTGGGACTGACTGGGAAGAACAATTTCAACAGTTTTCTGGGAAGAGACTTATTTGATGGCAGATAACTGTAATGCGTCCCGGCTTAAATGTTTTGCCCTGCCCTTGTCACAGGAGTTGTTGGGAGTGCTGAGTTGTTTGCAAACAGCTCCTGAACCATTACAGCTTGCAGCCTGATACATGAGAATGCTTAAAATAAAGTTGCTGTTGGTTTCCAGGAATGTGTTGTGTTGTAGTCTAACTGTTCGGGAACTGATTTTCAAGCTGTTCAACCATCCTTGTTTCTGCAAGGAGATGAGGATCACAGGACGTAGTGACTGCTTCAGCTGTCCTGGTATATAGATCCACCACCAAACGTTGGTCCAGTCTGGGAGGGTGACTTCTAAAAACATCTGACTTTGTCAGAAGTTTCCATGGTCATTGCAGAGAGCAAAATGGAGCTGGGAGCTGTAGTCTTGCAAAAAAAACTCTTGGGGCTGCTCAACTTCCTTTCACACAATGGCAGGTTACAGCAATAAACTTTCTTGGTGTTCAGTTAAGATTGGAAAAAAATAGTGAATTCACATTGATCATAGGCTTCAGTCATAACAAAGGTGTTTATAGACGAATGCTTATGAGAAGCATGTTTCAAGCTTACACTTTTAGGATTAATTGAAGTATTGCTCAATTTAAAGTGCTCAGAATTTGACATAACTGATGGGGGGAGCAGAAATCAAGCCTGAGGAAAATGACCTAAAAGAATAAGGACTTTTAGGAGAAAAGTAGCAAGTCTTTGAATGACGTAAAGCCATAAATCATGGAAAGTAGCCTGGCTTTTGAGGAATTACAGGAAGAAACACATTGAAAATATTTATTTTGATTGCTAGCTCTGACAAAATATTGAGGTCCCTTCTGACCTCAGCCATTCTGTGATCTCTAGTCTTTTGTTAAATGCTTTGAAATGTTTCCTGCTCATGTAGTGTTTTCTTGGTATCTTGTAGTTATGAATTCTTAGTGTATTCCATAAAGGTCATGGTTATGTGTGATGGAATCCAGTGTCTAGCGGCTACTTGAGATGGCTCAACAATGTCTAATACTGCTCTAAATATTTATTTTTCTGTTCCCCATGTTGGGGTGCCCATTGAGTGAACTGTAGTTGTAAATGATAGAGCTTCAAGCACAGTATATGGGGAACACAGTCTATCCTTAACTTTTGTAGAACTTGTTAACTCGGTAATGAGTATTCTGTATCAATTCTGCTGGTTTATTGCAGGAGACCATAATAAAACTTCTAAATCCTCTACTGAGAGGCTGAGAACAGAAGAAGGGAAAGGTATGTTCAGGTTGATAACCTCCTGTTAACTAGGTGAATTACCTAAAGTGATAAAAATGAAATAAGCTAAAGCACTTTAAAAATATTCTGTATGTAAATCATTCATTTAATAATGAATCAACCTGAATAACACCTTTCCCTTCTTCTAAATCCTCTACAGAGAGGCTGAGAAATTTTATTATGCTCTCCTGCAATAAGAAAATGAGTAAGGAGACATAGATAGTCAAACACATTTAAGAAATAGAGAACAGTATTCAGTCTTTCAGGATAAAATTAATCCAGATATGTTATTTATTAGTACATTGTAGACCTTTCTGAAGTTTCATTGTAGATACTTGTGCTGTGTGGTTCTACCAGGTCGTAGTTTTGCTGATTTTTTTATTTTTATTTTTTTCTCCCCTTCTTCCCCGCCCGCCCTCCTGCCCTAACAGACTATGAGGCCAGAGAATTTTTTTCCCTAGAGATCAAAAGCAGTCATCTCATTTTGGGCTTCCATTAAGCTGTCCTATTTGGATGCAAGTGTGAAACCACATAGATCAGTAGATTTCCTTGAGCCCGATTTGGCTGATAAGATCAGAAGATTAAATTTAGGAAAACTAGTGTACAATGAAGTTGTGTTATACTGCTTATTTCTTCCATTCTTAGTATACCTGTCAGAATCCTCGGTCTGAATTGGAGGATTCTGGATTTAGTTACTGTTTCTCTTTTTGTCAGTGTGCAATACTCTCTGA